CAGGATGCTGCCTCAGAATAGGATGCTCTGGTCTTGCCAGGTGGGGGGTCATCTGGGTTGGGGATGCCAGGGAGGAATTCAGCCGGGTTGGGGTACTTGCTGTCCCTCCACTGCTACGCCTCCCATGGCCTGGAATATTTGGCCATGTAGGCAACAGGGTTGCCCCTGTACTTGCCTATCGCCATGTCATAACTGAGGAGGTCGGGATCATAGAACACCGGATATCCCGAGGGTAGCACCTCAGGAAGGGTGGGGGCTGCGGTGTTGGTGGCTGGCTCTTTACCCTTTCGGGAAGGCCGATGGAATGGAGCAGTGGGGGCCAACACAGGCGGTTGGTGTGGAGGAGTGGGGTTTACCACCAACTTAGTAGACAGATCCCTGATGGATGCTTAGAGGGAGGCTATGGAGCTTGCCAAAATGTTGGTGGCACTGATCAGGGTGTCGTTTGAAGGCAGTGTGTTGGCAACTTGGGATAATAGCTCGTGGATTCTCATATTGAGCTTATCGCCAGTTCAGGAGAGGGCAGACATGCCGTGCATAAGAGAGAAGACCAGGGGAAGCAGGTAGCATTCTCCGGTAGAGAGTTCCAGCACCTCCTGGCGGGAGATAGGGGGTAGGCTTTCGGGAGGCCAGTCTAGCAAGGCTCTCGCAGAGGGGATCAGCCTGGCTAGGTTCTCGTGAATGGGGAGGATTGGGGCAGCCGATGATGGCCGTGAGGGAGGGTGGGAGGTAGCACCTTGGTTGGAGACAGGCGTGCTGGAACAAGAGTGAGCAGAGGGGTCCATGGCCCAGCAAGGAGAGATAATCCCTGGGTATAGGCTAGGAGGATCGTGAAAGTGTAAGGGGCTTATTCACCAGATGCAGATGGTGTTGAGAGCAGAATTAAAATGTAGGGGGCGGAAAGAAGAGGGCGCGGAGCATGGTGTATTGGAGGTCTTTTTTTTTATAATCTTATTTATTTATCCGTTTTAACGAAAGTAAGGCCAGGGGTCATATCAGTTCCCGCCATGTAGACCCACACCTCCACCCCGCAGTGTTCTCAAGTAGCCAGAAGAAAGACTGTGACCTCAGAAAGGCTAACACCAGCAGCCAGGTGCCCGACCCTAAGGTCCTACAACTTGAGCACGGAGGGGTCTCTCCTAGAGCCACCGATACCCAACCAGTCCTCGGTTTAAAAAACTCCCCCGCAAGTCTCCCGCACGGCTATCTACAAATTGTAAAGACCGGAAGCCCAAAAAATCCATCCTTCAAAGCAAGGAAAAACCCCCATCCCGACAGTACACCCCCCACCGAACTGAAGAAAACCCAAACCCGAGTAACTCCAAACCAAAGGCCGAAACCAATCTCTCGCCTACAACAACCAGATACCAACCCAACTCATGCCCCTTGCTTGGAACAGACCAATGGCCACACCTGGTGTGTGAAGTAGAAAAAACGAATAGGTGTGCTGTATAGGTGACATAAACGTATGTCTTGGGCATATAGCCCACGGCTGCAAGCCGGAGAAACCAAAAGGAAAGAGCACCCTCTGTAAGCAGAAGGTATTGGCAGAACGAGAGCCCCAAGCCGTCCGTCTGGGAGCGCAGAAGGGGGTGCCCGAAGCAGTAAAAGAGGGAGAGGTAGTAGGGTACCAGCCGACGTGACCGAAGAGAAAAAGGGAGGAAGGGCCAGAAGCCACAGTGCAGACCCAACCAACCAAAAACCTATTGCCATATTACTGCATCTCTCATGTAGTCCCTTGTTCTCTAAGAGATAGCGTCACTTAGTGGAAGGGATCCCACCGACGGTAGGAAGGTGGCAGGACAAGGTGAGGAAGGCAACCAAACTTGAACCGAGCGACTAGGAGGGTATGGTCAAATCTCACAGCAAGACAGACCCCGAAGTTACTAGCCAAGGCGTTCCCCAACGGGGATCGTGCAAGTGGGGAGAAGGACGTCTACCACTGCCAGTGCCGTCTGGAAATGAAGAGAGGAAAGCCGACCATGCCGAAGCTAAGCGAGCCCCTATTAGCAAGACAGGACTACTGGGCGAGCCCAGATAACTCCCCTATCAAGCAGACAAGAGACAAGCGAGGCCAAAGTGGGAGAGGATGGAAGAGTTAACTGTGCCCCTAGGCAGGAACCATCAAGGGGGCAGAGGGGAGTGGGAGGGCCCACGATAGTTGACGTGGTGTTGCCAAACTATGTGGGAGGAAAATAGGAGCGACGGAGTGTGGTGTATCGGAGGTCTCTAGCGGGGTCTTTTTTTTTCTTTTTTTTTTTTTTTTAAAAAATCATTTAGTTACTTGTTTAAGGTACAAGAACATCGCATGCAGCGCTAGCTATGGCGTTAAGAAAACCCCTCCACCCTGGACCAAGAGAAAACCCGTACCCCCAAGACCCTCTGGTATGGGCCCAACCACACACACTCCAAGGGCGACCAGCTCAGGTGCCCAGCCCGCAGGCCTCACGACTTGAACGCGAAAGGGTCTCGCCTAGAAGCCAACCAAAAGCCCAAGAAGATTCCTCGCCTGAAAGAAAACCCCACCCACTAACTACACGTAGCCAACAGGCAGGAAACCAAACAAGCTAGGCAGGAAAGCATAAGGAAAAACTCCATCCCGTAAACTACAAGACCCATAGGGCCACAAAAGAAAATAACCACTGCCCACCGTACCACCAGATTTGCCGTTATTTAAAGAACCGCCCCCAACCAGCTAAGCCACAGAAGTAGTACAATACCATGACCCGCCAATCGAGAACAGAGGCCACGGTGCCAGGTCCAAGGAATGGATGTTTGGTAGAAGGGGTACCGCCCAGCAGTAGGATGCCAGCCAAAGAAAGGAGGTAGTAGGGTACCAGCCAAGGAGGGAAGGCAGTAGGGTGCGAGCCGACACGACCAAAGTGGAAAGTGGAGGTAGGGCCAAAGGCCCCAGTGCAAACCCGACTGTAGACCGAACCGACATATTGCCGCGTCTCTCATGTAGTCCCTTGTTCTCCGAGAGATAACGTCACTTAGTGGAAGGGATCCTACCGGCGGCAGTGAGATGGAAGGGCGAGGTAAGGAAGGCAACCAAACTTGAACCGAGCGACTAGGAGGGCATGGTCAAATCTCACCGCGAGACAGACCCCGAAGTTACTAGCCAAGGCGTTCCCAACGGGGATCGTGCAAGTGGGGAGAAGGATGTCCACCACTGTCAGTGCCGTCCGGAAGCGAAGAGAGGAAGCCGACCGTGCCAAAGCTAAGCGAGCCCCTATTAGCAAGACAGGACTACTGGGCGAGCCCAGATAACTCCCCCATCAAGCAGACAAGAGACAAGCGAGGCCAAAGTGGGAGAGGATGGTAGAGTTAACCGTGCCCCTAGGCAGGAACCATCGAGGGGGCAGAGGGGAGTGGGAGGGCCCACGATAGTTGACATGGTGTTGCCAAACTATGTGGGAGGAAAATAGGAGCGACGGAGCATGTCTCTAGGGGGGTCTCTAGACCTTACTATTTATACAGACATCTCACTCAACCCTAACCATTTGTGACTCGTACCTTTACATTACCATATTCTATGACTTACAATTATGAGTCATGTGAGATCCTCAGTTGACTCATATGAGTCTACTGCAAAACATGCCTAAACCAATCATAATTCTTATAATAATTCATGTGTACTAAGTGCATCACATGCGTAAGACTGGTGACTCATAAGTATGAGTCACATGCAAAAATCATAACATCATATAACTCACAACTGTGAGTCATCACATAACAATAAATACCCATGACTTGCAAGCATGAGTCATGTGAAACCCTTTGTTTCTCCTCATCAATCTGCCTTGTCACCATCCAGTTTGTGACAGTCCAGTGCATTTACTTTCCGAGGCGCATTGTATGCTAAATTTAGTGTTTTAAGAGGAATTGGTAGTTTTGGATTGGAATAGATAGGATAGATATGGTACCAGCAGCAGTAGTTCTTGATACCTGGGCTGCGGATTCAGCAATTATAATTACCTTCAACACCAAGCATGATCAATACTATAAAGTGGGAATCATACTGGATTGGAGTTACTATCATGAGTCAAACTGAAGTTTCTAGATATTCTATCTACATTGTGACGAGGTGGGCCGAGGTTGAATTAAAAAGGTCTTAGAGTGATGTTTTAGAAGTCTAATTTCCCTAAGACACTAATTTCCACCTTCTCGGAAAGCTACACCTTATTTGAACTTCATAGCACATGGTCCGTTTATTCGAGTTCCTACGGTAGTCATAAACGAAAAGAATGATTAGACTACCGAGCCTTCCTTGACAATCTCCATCTATAACATACTAAAAATTCCGGCCTAAGACTTCTTGACGCATACTCGAGTTGGCTTCTGCCTAACAGGTTGCTACCCTTCAAACCTGTTTTCCCGGCACCCTCCAAAAAAGCCAATATGTAGGTTCTAACAAAACCGCTATTTTAATGCATTTTCCCACTCTTTTCAAAAAAGCCCATTCGGCAGGTTTTAACTTATACAGGCTCATATATTCAAAATACTATGAGCTTACTCGAGTAGGGCCCGATAGCTAGACAATGCGTAGGCTATTGCCATAGTCGTGGGGTCTTCTGAATAGTCTATCGGGCGAACATGAGGGAGGGAAATTCTCTATCCACCTATGATATCATAAGCTGATATCATAAGCACCACTCCCTCCTATGCCTTTGCCCTCATCACAAATTAGAAGGGCGGTGCGGAAAACAATAAATCTGAACCCGATCTTAATTTTCGGATGACAATGTAGGTAAGAAGGGGAAAGGGTATGGAAAGGGTATGGGAACTCAGTGGCGAGTGTACAAATTGAGGTGAGGAATATATATAGGTACCATACTGAGGTTACAGTAAGGATGATTCCGTCATGGGAATTACATCGTGGCCTTTCTTGCCTTTTTTGCCCTCGACTCTTTCTCGGCCTTGCCACCTTTATCTAGTGTACTGGTTCCTTTTTGACAGATGTGATCCTAGGAATTCAGCATCCAAATTTCAACTAGAAATCATTCACCGCACCCATATATCAAGCCCTCGATATCAACCCTCTTGAACCGGCTGATGTGACTGGGGAGCGGGGAGAAATGCCAAAGGAGGGCTATGTCATCAGGGCCGACGCAGATCATCTCTGCATCAATCATTTTACCTAATTTCTCGGATTAGATTTTTATAAATTAGTAATATTTTAGAAGGAGTAGGGGAGGGGGGGGGACTTACTGCTCTGGAATTGGTGAAAAGCGATTTGGGCCCTTGCTGAAATAACCTTAGCACCGGGCCATTCCCTTTCATTGGCTATGCGAATGACAGTCTTCAGATCGTCAACAACAAAGGTGATTTCCCCACGGGGAACATTAAGGTCACCGGTAATCTTCACCGCCTTGAGCTTCGTTGAGGTCTCTTGGTGCAATAGAATGAATTCGTAGCCGTGGGAGGAGTAGTTGCCAACCCAGATGCCCCTGTATGGATGATCCTTATCGGGTGTGTAATGCTCTTCACGGATGGTCGCAAAGGTTTCTACTTGATTGTCTACGCCACTTCTGGACACGGCAACGCTAGGCACGGGCGCTCCACCGAACACCACCCACCTGCGGATTCGGAAAGCAGAATCGATAGCGTCTCCGTGGAATAGGTTGCTCTCGTGGGGGCCGTTGATGCAGCTAAGAACGTCGCTGGTGCGTTCAGTCGCGGGAATATGGGGCGGAGGCCAGTACTTCTTAGAAGATACCTGGACTTCAGGAGGTATCGCGCTGGCCCGGAAAAGTGAGCAAGAGAAGTACCGTTCCTGTGTCGGAGGCTTGATCTCATTATCGTTCGGGTCGAGAACTGTGTCTTTGTCAAAAGACAATAGCGGAAGTGTCCAGAGAGACACTTGCGGATCAAAGCTAGATACAAATATACTCTCATTACGACTCCAAGGGGCCGAGTCTTCTCTACCGCTACCTCCGGGCCGTGCCGCAACAACGTTGGTCAAATCTATAGCACCTGTCTCCAAATTGTATGTAGAAAGAAGAATGTAGCCTGTCCACAAACGGTTGCTCATCCATATTTTGCCGTTTAGCCAAAGATGATCTCTCAAGGATGCATAGAGGTCGCGGAATCTGGTATAAGGAGTTGGAGATTTCAGACGAAGGCTTGAGGCTTGTCGAGCCCAGAGGTAGTCTGGTGTAGCTGGATCTGATGGGTCAATGAGCTCTCTCCAATGAGAGCAGACTACACTGCACCGTGCGAGAGAAACGCCATTCAGGTTCTGAAATACTAATTGTAGAACCTCTGCGAGAAATCCATTAGTGTTTATATTGGGTGTCGGGAGCTTAGGGTAACTTTGGTGATTTTGGTAGCAAGTAGAAGGGCAAGGCACGAGGGGTAAATTTTCTTTAACTACCATTGGGGCATGATTTGATGCCAGTCGAATTGGCCCCCTCATCTGAGGAGGCCATGGGAGGTACAGTAGGGGGAATGGTGAAGAATGGATTGTTAGAATTCTAGATCCGGGGGAGAATGGGCCAGGTGATAGAAGCGGCAGCGGAAGAGGGGGGAGGCGGGTAGGTAGGAGAGGGAGTACGGTCGAGAGGATACGAGTATAAGAATGGGTGGTGGGTGAGAGTTCGGGGGTTTATGAGAAGAGAGGCTAAGAAAGGAGGAAAGTAGCGGAGTTTGGTGATTTTGGGAATGAAGTGTGGGGTAGTCTACAGCCGGAGGAAGATCAAGGACGAGGGAGGCGCACGGGAATTCGGGGGTAAGCACGATTCCAGCTACTTTCACGGAGAACCGTGACAAATTGTACTGTGAGAAACATAGTCTGGATACTGCAGCCGTATATATCATAATATTACGATACCAGTAAGGGTATTCAAAGTTAGACTAAAAAGATGATTTTTCGGTAATAAGTAAACACAGGAAGTTGCATTAGAGTAGTCTAAGTTTTTCTCAACTTTGAATATCCTTCCATGCGCCTTCCCAGCACTCGAGTACGAGTACCCCGCGGCCGAGTTGAAGTTGGACACTTTCTATGGGAATTGTCACTTTAGGTGTCCAACCTCAACCCGGCCGCGGAAGTACTTGTATGATGCTTGGGGCATATCATAATTGGCAAATCCCACCCTGCACACTGCTACGAGTAGCGAGATTAATACCGGTAATCCGGACCCCACAACGTCGATAAACCTTAGATAACAACGAACCCAGTAAACTTTATCGGAAACCTAAGGATAGATCAGTTTGCAGTTTTGGTTGTTCAAGATCATGTTTCACAAACCTTCGAGGGTTTCTGAGAGGGGAATTTCATTGTCAAAGTTGCTTTTTCGGTCTCTGGGCTATCGAGATCAGCGTAAGTTGCCGCAGTATCGCACTGTGTTAATTCTGGTGGCGTCCGAGCTTTAGTCGTCATACCGTATGCTGGGGGAGGTTGCCGGTCTAACAAACATCTATCAAACCGACTAGACAAGATTCGCGAGGCAAAAGAGTTTATTCAAAGTTAAAATTACAACTTTGTGCTGTTTCGACCCGGTAGCCTGAATTGTAGGCACGGTACATACTCGTGGACTATACTCGTCTTCCGGGAGCGTTGCGAGGGTTGGGGAAAAAGCTTGGGCACCATGAAATACCGGCAGGCGATTTGGGGTTGGGTGGGGTTTTCACTTCGCGGTGGATGTGCCTGGTGCCCAAAATCTAGCTAGGCTTCAGATAGTTTCTCAGCCGAACGATTGACTCGATTTGCCCACACTCTGTTAACTTTATGTCAGGCTTGAACTCTAATCCCTTGATTTTGATAGACCGGACACTTCTGTTTTCCCTACTCGAATGGTTTCAGCCCCGGGGGGTGTCGTTGATTTAAGGAGAATGGTCCACCCATCATCCCCTAATCCATGCAGTTTTCGCAGCTTGAACTACCGGTATCCCGAATCTCGGATTATTGTAGGATTGAAGTTAAAAGTGACAAATGGTGGTAGGGAAGGGATGGTGGTGGATAGAAGAGGGGTTGTGCTATTTATGATATCGGTAATCCAATAAATGAGAAGTCAAACCTGTCGAAATCGCTCCTCGTGGTGGGGTCAGCAAATTGGTGCTTGAATGTTGTGGACTTGGTAGTCTACTCGTACCGGTATGTGAGGAAGAAGGGTAGTAGTCTAGCCAAGAGAGGCTCTGGATGCGTCCACAAGTTCCCGCCGGTATCAAGGCATCTATGACTTCATGGTCATTCTGGTGGCAAAAACCGTCAGACAGCCTCCCAAGCCACCCGGACATCCCTCGCCGAGACAGCTAAACCAAGCCAGAGAGAAACCTTCCGGTGGTTTTACTTTACCTAGTTCTAGTCTACCGGTACTGGTTGGTGAACTGCGGCAACTGCACCGATCACCACCGTTTCCTCATACTCGTAGACTATATAACCCACCAAAGAGCAAATTACTCGTATCTCTCTGGGTGGTTCCGGGAAGCTGTCTTACCGTGGCTAGAGATCCGCGGGCTATCGCCACTGCATACCGGCATCATACCACTTCTGGCTGGGGCCAACCAATCGTGTGCATCCATCACACGTTCTCACGTGATGGTATCCAGGTTTTGGTGTGGAGGTACTCTACTCGAGTACCAGTACTCGTAAAAGTACTCGTACCGTACACCGGTACCTACTTGTATGTATGGTGCAGCGGCATCCCTCAAGTAATTCTCTACAATTCTCGCTGGTCATCCATCAGCGAGGGAAGGGTAGAGCTCAGGACTCGATGAACATCGCACGATTCTTTATCGCGGTACGTAGCGGAATGAATGATTGAGTCGTTCGGCGCTTTTCTTTTCCGTCCATCGTTGTGATATGAGAGAGGTACTCGTACCGGTATTGGTGGCCTGAAATGGTAAGTGGATGACGGCGTGTGAAATGGTTGGACTCTGCTCGCAAGGACAGGGAAGCTTCGACGCATGGACAGAGTAGCACCAGTAGTGACAGTTGGCACCCGCCCTTCTCTCTTCCTCATGAGTGTTTTTTTCTTCTGTCGTCAGGGTTTCGTCTGCAATTTCATTAGATTGATAGGCCGGGAGCCACCTGTGACTGCAAGTGAGGGCAAAGGAGGGAAAAACAGGGAAACCACTGGAAAATGATACCAGTAGTCCAACAGAAATTGCATCGCTGGCACCCCCGAACTCTTGATGTCGAGTACGGTATGATATGATATTGTACCATACTAGTGGATCCTTTTCCTCTCTCCTTATAAATTTGTCACACGAGTGCTCGTGTTTTTCATCTTCCACTATTTTCTCCCTCTTTTTTTCGAAGGAAACGAGTCCGACTCTATTGACCGCCATTCTAACAAGCGAGTTGTAAAGGGAGATTCCCACGGCCGAGCGTTACTGTGCTTGCACGGGCACGGTAACCCTATTACAAGTACCGGTACTGCACTCGTATCGTACTGGTAGGGTACCGAAACAAACCGTCGATACAGCTGTGCGCCTTTCCCGATTCGAGTCAGACACAGGAGCTGCTGGGTACGCCGCACGCGTGAATTGCTTTGCTGTTCCACCTCTCCCACCTTTTCCTCCTCGTTTATACAACTCGTCACCATCATCATCCTCATCCTCATCATCATCATCATCATCATCATTATCCAGAATAATATACGCCTCATTGTACAGTACGGTAAGCCTTTGCTTTCTGTTCTAGAAGGTAATTACCATCAGCTTCTCCTACGCTACAAATTTGATTCGTACATTTCTCCATCTCTTCATCGCTTCTTGGTCCCTTGCTTCGTGTTCACTTATGTCACAATCTCTATTAAATACATTTCTTCCCCGTATTCTACCTGCCTCTCTCCCTCCTGTGAAATTTCTTTAGCTGAGGTTGCTGTTTTGCAGGTATTTCACAAATTACCACATCTACCGGGAGTATTTGCTACGAGCGCCATTTGTACATTGTACGCACAGTGCTAGTGCTAGTGCCATCCACTCTTTTTCGTCATCCTAGCTGCCCGTGGAGGGAGCTGTGCACAGTTAGGTACGATGGTGCCACCACCTTTCTCGTACAAGGTACGAGTACTTGCGGCAATCGATGCCTTCTATAATCCTAAACATGCAAGACCTATCCGCCTCGCATCTGTGGGTACGATACATACAATCATCATGGTTCACTGTTTGCTATTGCCTGAATTGACGAATTGATGTAAACTGCAGAGGCTCGTTACAAACGGGATTGTGATTCTCAGAAATGCACCCTTCCTGGGTCGTGGCGAAAACGCGTCCTGTTTGTGTGTTACCCCTCAACTCAACGGATACATTTTTAGTGCTGATTGCTTGTTTTTGCCGTGACATAGGCGGCGAATAAGCTTGTTCGCGAGGGCTGGCTCTCTACCACGAATGATGGTTCTTATCTCCTTACACCAGAGCTACGAACCATAATTGAGGCGGAGAAGAGACGACGGGAAGTTAGTCCGAGTAGTCATGATTGGAATACGTTTGCTGCAATTGTGAAGGCTATGGAATTTCCTGCTAGTACCCCCCAAATCCTGAATCACGCCCCTTCCTCAACTCCAGCGGGGAGAACAAGAAGACGAACTAGCCTTGTCGCTCCAATTCTGGCCGTTCCCACCCGCTCGCCAGCCGGTGCTGCTTCATCCTCAAATATCTCTGCTACTCGCCAGACAAATAGTAATGTTCCACCCCCGAATGGTCACTCGACACCTAATACCCGTTCCACGTCTGATGCCGGCCCATCCTCTGTTAATATTCGACGTGAAAGTGCTATCCCACCGAACCCTCGTCTTTCTCCGGCCCCTCGCCTAACTCCATCAGTGGGGCCATCTCGCGATGCCCATGATATTCGAAGAGAGGTGCTACGGGGCAAGAAAGTTCGGCGTTCCGATCCAGGTCCCCGTCTTATGCTTGGCTCACCCGTCACCTCCCCAAGTTCCGGAGTACGTAGATCATCTAGATCCTCCGAACAACCTACTCCCGCGCCTGCTCGCAAGGCCCCAGCGGTGGCTTCCACAGCCCGTCACCGCTTTTCCGGCTCTAAACGTCGCCGCCATACCCTGGCTGTTCCGATGCAGCTTCCCCAGCAACATATTAACTTCCCTGCACCCGTCTCTAAAGAGATACAATTTTACCCATTGAAGCAGGCTCTGTCAGCCCGCACTCGTCGCGCCCTTCGTCGGAATGCTCTTAGCGAGGAAATGAATAATATTGATGACGAGAGACGAGCAGGACAGAGGAGGAATAGGGAAGAGTTGGCCAAGTTAAGGGCCGAATTGGCTCAGAGTGCAGAGCGATTGCGAGACTTGGAGAGAGAGCTTGCTGCTGCGAAATATGCACCATCCGAAGAACCTGAGCCTATGTCTCCTATTCGTGAAGACGAAGAGCATGAACGTAGCGACGCGCCACAGGTTGAAGATTATGATATGGGTTTTGCACCTCCACCCGACTCACCTGCTCCGCCTGCTACACCCTTTAGAAGAGAGACTCAAAGTGCGGATGGAAGTGGACAGGAAACCCCTGTTTCGACACGCGACAAGAAGATAAGAGATCTCGAGGCTATGATCGAGCAACTCCGGGAGGATATCAAACATCGTGAACAGGAGGCAGCCGCTCGCGCACAGGAAGATGAAATATTCCACGACGCAGAAGAACAGATTTTCCTGGAGAAGAGCAACTCTCTTATGGAAAGAATACATGACCTTGAGGCAGAGCGGTCAAAGACCAATGATATGGCTGTAACATTTGAAGAGGTTGAGGAGGGAATCGATGCAGCTCTCGATCATGTCGACACTGGGCCTACTGCGGATGACTTTGACGATGACGTATCTGATGCCGGGCAGCTTCATGACGACATGGGTTTCCCTTCTTCAGCTGTTGATAGTGCGGCTCTTACGTCGAGCCAAGTTCAGACTGAGATCAGTGTTTATGAAACTGAATCGTACTCGAGGAGGATATCCGAGCTCGAGGATCAGAATGGAGGCCTCCAGAGGATGATTGATAACTTGACAAATAGGATCCAAGATATGCAGGAAGAGGTTCGAGATTCGCAGACCGGATTGGCTGAGCAAGAAGAGAGAACCGAAGTGCTAGAGGCAGAGGCGCTGAAGTTGAAGAACCAGAAGCAAACGCTCAGGATGAGGATCATCGAACTGGAGGAGATGGAGGGGGAGAGACTGGAGAGCATGCATGATTTAATGGTACAAACGGATGAAGCAGTGGATGAGCGGGCAATTCTGTTGGAAGAGAAGGCGGAAGGGCTGAATATCCAAGTTTCAGAATTGCGGGAAATGGTTGAGGCCGTTTCTACTGAGAAGAGAGCTGTTGACACGAGGCTCCTTGAAACAATGGATCAAGTTTCTCGCTTGGAGGCAGCGGTGGAAGCCGGAGAACGTTCCAGGGAAGATGTTAACTCTCAGCTTCAGGACCTGGGTAAGATGATAGAGTTGTTGAGGAAGGAGATCACAATCTTGGAAGCTGAGCGGGCTGAGATAGTGGCAGAAATTGACGAATTAAGAGACCAGCTGGCGACCTTAGAACGCGAGATTGGGGAATTGCGTGTCGAGAACGTTGGATTAAAGCAAGAAGTCAGCATCCAAACGGAGAAGATAACAGGGTTGGAGCAAACTGTCGACCACTTTGAGAAAGATAAAGCCGCTCTTCAGGAGAGTCTTCATCTGCTCGAACTTGACATAGAGACACTTGAAGAGGCGGCTAAAGTTGTTGAGGAAACCAAGGACCGTCTGGAGGACGAGATCGAGGTTCTTCGTGATGAGCTTAAATCCCAAACTAATGCTACGGAAGCTGCGCAAAAAGCCAGTGAAGCCTTCCAGAGAACGATATCGGAGCTCCATTCGCAGGTTGGCTCTCTCGAAAAAATGATTGAACTATCCAACCAGGAGAAAAAGAGCTTTCTTCACAACATTGATGCCCTCCAGGTCCGAGTATCGGATCTTGAACAACAACATAGGATCTCTGGGGACGACAAGGGAAATTTGGAGGCTCAGATTTGTCGTCTGAATGGCCAGATCCACAAGCTCGAAGAAGCGGTTGAAGTTTCGGAGACAGATAAGGAAATTTTGGAGAATACTGTTGAAGACCTTCAGAATCGGGTTTCTCAACATCAATCCGCCCTCGAAAATGCTGGCAGTAACAAAACACGTCTTGAGAGTGATATTGCCCAACTCACATCTCAGGTAACCTCACTACAGGAAGCTGCGATCGCCTCCAATTTAGAAAAGGAGGGTCTAGAGCGTGAAATCGATTTTCTCCAGAAGCAGGTATCAGCATTTGAGGCGACCGTCAAGCTTTCGGATGACCTAACGGCAGATCTTGAAAAGGAAATCCTTAGTCTCAACACTCAAATCGACATGTTTAAACAGGCTGAGGAGGCGGTCAAGAACGAGAAAGAGCAGATGGAAATAAACATGAGTGGAATGATGGCTCGGATCCAAGGCCTAACCAGGGCGGGCAAGATTGCGCAAGAAAAGAAAGAGGATCTCGACAGAACTATCGCAAGCTTGAATTTACAGATTAGCATTCTGGAGGAGGAGCGAGATGATGCCCAAGCCGAGAATAGCCGTCTAAAATCAGAAATCGCCGAGTGCAAGGAAGAAATTGCTACTTTGACTAGTATGCTTGATCATTCAAACCGGGAGAGGGAATCATTGAAACAGAATATCGAAGAGTTGGAGGAGAAAGTCGTTTTTCTTGAGGACGTAGTTCAAGATGCTCACGGAGGTAACACCAGTCTACGCCAGGACATCAATGCTCTCAATGCCGAAATTAGAACCTTGAAGCAAGCGTCCGCTCTCGCCGATGAAGAGAAGTCCATGATTCAACAAAAGATCCGACCATATATCCATGGCGAGCAATCTCTCGATATGGCAGTAGAGGAGGTCTTGACGGAGTTGGTTATGGAGAGGAACCGCGCGGACGAAAACGAGCGACTCCGTACTGAATTATCCAAGAAGATTAAGATACTGGCCCAGACGGATGAGGGGATGAATATGGGCTCCCTCAATCCCGAAGAGACGGTGGAGAGATTGACGGACCGCTTTAGAGAAGTTAGAGGTTACGTTGAAAACCTGTATTCTCAGTGTGCCCAGAGCGAGAATTCACCTTTTGAAGGTCATGAATTAGATGATTTTGCCTGGACCGGCTCAAATGAAGATGCGTTGGAAGTCCTGAGGAGTCTAGTTGGGGGGCTGTACGAAAAGGTGAGTGAGGCGCAAGCCCGGACAGTTGAGGTGGAGAAGGAGAAGGAGAAGGAGAGAAAACAGCGCAGTCTCTATGGCCAGTATCTGGATGATATTGCGATCGCTGTTGGAGTTGAGGGGGAGCAATTGCCGGCTGAGGAGGGCGTCCCCGGGTTGGTTACGCTCCGTCTTTCCGAACTTAGGCAGCAGATTGGATCCACTGGAGAGAAAGTTGAGGAGCTCCAGGTTTCGATACAGCGCAAGAATGATACTCTCAAGTCCATGGAGATGGATATCGAAGAGGCCGGTGAACGTGAAGCTGGTCTTAGCAGAAAGCTTGGAGATGCCGCTGCCGCTCATGAGGCCGCCGCTCTTCAACTGAATCGTGCCCATGTCCAGATCGAGGGACTCAATCAAGTTATTCAAGATAAAGTTGCTGAAATTGAGGATTTGGGAGCTGACCTCGAAGCAAGCTCTGAGAATGAACGCCGCCTTCTCGACACGATTGACCAGCAAGCGTCGGAGCACGATATCACTGTCCGCGAGCTCGAGGGGAAACGCGGGGAAGCGATTGCCCGTCTCAAGGAACTTCTGGAAGAGAAGGTCCTAGCGAAGACAAGGGCAGAGCACATGGTGGCAGAGAAGGCAAAAGACAGTGAAATCATCCGGGAGCTTGAGGAGCAAGCCGCTGGCTGGAAAGCACAGTATGATGCTTTGAATGTGAGGCTCGACATGATGAAGGCAGATCACGAGGACAAGGTTGCGCAGCTTAAGGACACAATTGCCGGGAATGAGGGAAAAATTAGTTCACTTTCGGAGGAGCTTCGTGAAGCCCTTGAGAAAAGTGAGCGCGATATATCTGCTCTTGAGGATCAATTAAGATCTGCGCGTGATGAGATCGCCAATCAGAATTCAGCTTTGAGCAAGGTTTCTGCAGAACGTGACGAGTTTTCCAGACAGCTAGAGATGGAGATTTTGAGCAGCCGAGGTGCCGTCACGGGCCTAGAGAAGAGGATTAGTGAGATCAAGAACGAGTTTCAACTTCAGCAATCCCGTGACCATAACCGTCTCTCAGATCTTAAGTCCGAGCTCGAAGCCCATAAAACGAAGTCACTTCAGGAGCAGGAGCATTCCCGAGCGGAGATCCACGCACGCGGCGAGGTGATTAGATCGCACAAGGCTCGAATCTCGGAACTCGAAGCAATGCTTAACGAGACCGAAGAATCCGAGGCGACACTTGAAGAGGGCATCAAGTCCTGCGAGAGTCAACTCCAACTATCCTACGAGGAAACTGCCAGGATAAAGGAAGCCTTGGAAACCGAGAAGGACAAATTGATGGAAGAGCTGGCCGAGCTGAGGATCGAGATAGAGCGGACCCGCGCAAACCTAACAAGCGACATCGAAGGCCTCCGAACGATTCTCGAGGGTAAGGAAGTCCGAATCAACGACCTCGAAGCCGTCGTTGGCATCCTCCGCAGCGAGAGGATCAAGCTTACCGAAACCGTGGGAGAGCTCGAAGCGGAGCAGATCAGATACCAAGACATGCTCGAGTCAGAGCGACAATCCGGACTCGAGGCTGTTCAAGCGCTCAGTCACCAGGCGGAGAAATATATGGTTCGGTTTGGCGAAGTTAAGCAGCAGTACATTCGTGAAAGTGCGAAGCGTCAGGCTGAGGGTAAGAAGGCGAACAAGAGGCTTAGAGAACAGGACGATGAGGTGGATAATGATGCCGCGGACATGCCCCTTCATGCTCCTCCTACGCCTGCGTCGACTATACCGAGGCCTTTGAGCGTGACGCATAGCGCGAAGAAAAGGGAGAGCAAGAGGAGAAAGTACGATAGTGGCATCGGGGTTGAAGAAGAGGAGGAGTGCACGTCTGTGGTGCCTGCTTGAGCATGAATGAAAGGGAGTTTACCATTTTTGGTCATTGGAATTGGTGGTTTCTTTCCTCTTTCTCTTTTTTCCTTTATTTGTGTTCTTGCTCTTTTGTATGATGTTACGATGGCACGAAGGGCACGAAGATCTCTGTCTGGTTGGGCGGCGGCATTTGGTTTCGGCTTCTGTTTTTCATATATTTCCCTCATTTTTTGTTTTCTCATTCGGCTGGGAGTCTGTCCTGTGATAATCCTGTAGTAATACCTCCTTTCCTTTTCTTTGACTTTGCGTGTAGCTTCAGGGTTTCACGGAGCTAGTACGTCACTAACTATGGCGCTCCATTCTTGTCAAGGGGTCATTTTCTTGCTATCTCTCTTGTTCCTGTTTTCTATTTTCATTAAAAAGTTTAAGGTTTTTCGCTTTTAGCTTTCTCTTGGCTTTAGCACGGTGTTTTCATAATAGTTGGGAATTTATGGAACTGAGATTATTGTTGCCTTTAGAGGAGTTGATTGAGCGCAATTAATGGTGGTATTCGTCTCAGTAGTGTAGTTCTCCATAATCGAGGGATTTTCGCATTCAGGTCGTGATATCAATCCCCGCTTTCCTCCAGTCTATATCGTACTCCATTCCACCCGATCTATCCCGTCAAACGTCTGATAAACCTGCGCCCATCATCAACGACCTCAATCCTCCTTCCTCCCCCCTCCCCCCCCCTTCACCAAAACCTTCCTCTCCTCTCCAAGCACAACTACCCGGCCGGCACTTTAGCTCCTCTCTCCCCCTCCAACAAAGCCAGGGATCACAAGCTCAGTGAAGGACAGGGGTAAACAAACCCCTCTGATAGAGCACATAGCTGGTAACAATTGCGATCGGCAGCATCACAACTACCGTGCGTATTTTGCGGTACGCGGGTCGGTACCTCTCGGGGAGGTCGGAGGGGGTTAGGGGATTTGGTATTTGCTTCGGTCCTGGCGGTGGTGGGGGAGGAGGGGGTTTTCGGTGGTGGTTGAGTTTTGCTGCGGGGAGTTTTGGTTCTGGCAGGGGGGGGTTGGTGGGGGGCATTGGGTGGAAGGTGGTTTGGTGGGTGTGGTTGAGGTTGTCGGAAGTTGTGAGTTCGGTGGGGTTGGATGGGGAGGTCGAGTGGGCGTTACCCGGTTGTTTTCATGGGTGACTGTTGAGGATGCTGGGGTAGGGGTCGTTTAGGACTCAAATGGGAATCTTGTGAGTCCCGAGTTGGGGGCCATGTCCCTCATGTGTGCCTGACCGCATTCGCCGGCACCATAAAACACTGTACAGTACAGTACCGTACCAGTATGATATATCTGTACAGTACAGTACTTCGTAACACCTCTTAGGTCTTCTCTTGCTCAAAGCAGAAGCTACATTGTTTCCATCGCCGGCGTTATGACTTTGTTTATTATTTCTTTGCATACGAAGGTATTTTCTTTCGCGTTCGATATCAGTAGTCCATGTTTACAATTTCTCTTCTCCCGGTACATCTACTCGAGAACTAACCCGACGAACTGTTCCGTCCGGGGTAACTCGAGTTAGTTGGGTAAGCACTTGGTAAGGAAACGGCAAAGCTGGGGCCGCAACTGCCTTAAAAGTCAAATCTAATACCCTTTAATTGCTACTACTACTACGGTAGGTCAGGTGATGGCTTTTCGGAAGGTTGAAGAAATCTACCGATCCTCTGCGAATTTTGTAACGCTGAGTGTACCGGTGTGAGATTTAATTCGTACGATACCTCAGTTTAAATAATTTTCATTCCTTAAGGACCATCACCAACCTGGTATACATGCCCAACAGCGTTATGTCCCCATGATAAGCCAACACCACCCTTACCTTAAAACAAAACAAAAAAAAAAAAAAAAAAAGAACAAACACAAAAAACAAACAAAAACAAAATAAAATAACAAAACAAAGCAACAAAACACAACAACAAACAATCACCCCCAAACATAAATCACTCATAACCGCAATTTATCCCATTTCACCCCTAATCCAACAAAGGAAATCCTCTGTCAATTTGTCCCAACAATGGGCCATTATCCTAAAATGCCTTCCCACCACCAACAGTAACCTATCCGTACCGCAGACATAACTGGACCCTGTGTCCAAATAACCCTACACTATAGCCTACTAAACTGTGAGTGTAGTACAGTATTCCATCCTCTCTCCATTCCACCTATCCAGCAACCTATCTTGAAAAGATTTCATCCATGCCACCGCACAATTTCCATAGAAATTAAAATGCCACCACCTGGCCATGAATGCAACCTCCCTCTCCCCCAATCCCCACAGTCAAAGTCATGGTCCAGCCCAATCAAAAATGGGTGTCTATATCTCATATGGTATGCCAAAACCTAGAGTATGCACAGGCTGTCCTTTCTGTAACAAACCCTCCACCTATCACACCTCTCGTCAGCAGGTATCTCAATGATGTAGCTATCACCCTTGTCCATGTAAAGCACCCTACCAAATAGGTTTCCAGCCACCACCTTCATATTATCAAGATCATTCTTACACAACAGCACCCCCAGTCCAAGCCAGGTGTGCTTCTACCACCTCATCACCCACTCCTCGATATGTTTGTCAACAAACAGTTTGACCAGGTCAGGCCTTTCTTCACTAAACCAACCACTGCTGACCAAGTACATATGGTCACCTGTAAAGTGTTTGCAAGGTGCTATTCACATTATTGGTAATGGGTACAATAGTTGATAGGTGGCCTGCTCTACCAGAGAGAAGGTGAGAGCTGAGAACTAAAGGAGGCTTCAAGGGTGTACTGAGAAAACGATAAAGTAACCGTTCAACCAAGCATATTGAATGACTGTCTGTTGAAGTCTGCTCTTTCCATTGCCAAATCAGATGGTCTTTAAATATACAAATCTGTTCATGTCTGGTATGAATAAAACTATTCAAAGATATTAAACGATACACTTTGGTAAAACAAATTAAGTATCAAATCATACTTAAAATATAACATAAATCAAAACCAAGTATCAAATGATACTTAAAACAAACCAAGTATCAAAGCGATACTTAAAATAAAATATAAAACAAAACCAAGTATTCAATGATACTTAAAACAAGCCAAGTATTGAGTAATACTTAAAACAAAACATAAAACAAAACCCAGTATTAAACAATACTTAAAACAAACCAAGTATCAAGAGATACTTAAAACAAAACATAAAACTAACCAAGTATCAAGCGATACTTAAAAAAAAACATTCAACAAAACCAATAACCAAGTACCCGTACAGGTTACATTCCACAAAACAAAACAACTGTTTTAACAAACCTAATAATCCTCAAAAGCAGACTCCGAGAAACTAAAGACTTCAGTTTCCTCTATGAGTTCTTCATTATAAGTGTCACACCAGAGACAAGAAGAAATCCTAAGAATACAACAAGATTCAAAGAAATGTAGGTTATAGTAGTCACGAATACCAGATTCAGACTATGCGTCCACCCAAGCATTATTGCTATCAGGATAGTAGTCTACCTAGAGGATAGTGAAGTAGTCTTCAGGTTGGATACTATCGCCATTTCACAACAGTCCGACAAGCTGTTGCCACAGTCTCCCCTTATATTCCACATAGTTTGATATTGTTATAGTATTCAGATGGTGAATAGTGACTAAACGAAATGGTCAAGAACTTGTTCCATAGCTTTGTTCTCTTCATCACTGCTTTCTAATTCTGACTCAAAATATGGTACCTAAAATTCATCTCCGGCCTCTAGTTCAAGTTGTTATCGCTCAGTTTCCTGCATAGTTGGTATCTAGTATATCGTAATATAGTTAATAGTGGGGGGTAGGGAATTGTTTGACATGTTGTCTTCCCACCACTTGTTTATCTTATCTATAGTGTACTCCAGCCCTTTTTGTAGTTCCCAACTCTTTTCGCTCATTGGATATTCTTTCCACTTTACTTGGAACTGATCATTTCCATACCAAAGGCAGTAATCTTGGATTTCTTCAACTTCCCATTCATCCTTCTTATCGATTATGATAGGTGCAGGTCGAGAGTGGCTTCTTCCAGGGAACTTAGAGTCATCATTAGGGTGAAAGCATTTAATAGCAGAGGCATGAAAAATGGCAGTATTGTGGTGATACATGTGTTCATTCATTTGAACAGTGTAGTTTTCTGTATACTCATCAATGGATAAGACCTTGAAAGGTCCTCGCCATTGCGGTTGTAGTTTCTTGCTGCTTCCAAATCGGTAATAAACATATTTCCATTGACAATAAGTAAATTGCCTGACGGAATAGGTATGTGTTTACGTTGTCATGTCTGGGTAGTAGTTGTACTTCAGAATCTCGCAACTTCAATGGCTTAGAAGACATCATTCTTGATAGCCTGCTGGTAGTTTAAGTGATCATCAGAGGGGAGAATAGAAGAGTTCTTGAATAAGGTTGTAGGCAGGAGAGGGTATTGGCAGCCAAAGATTGCCTTGTATGGGGACATTCCCAGGGTGTTCAAATATGTGGCATTGATATATGTGGTGAGCTCAGCGAGGCAGGTTCCTAGTTGGTCTGTCGTTTATTGATCATGTTCTGAATTCCGGTCTTGCCTTTACAGATTTTCTGTTCAACTTGGCCATTAGTCTCGTGATTTCTAGGAGCAGCCATAATGTAGTTGATTCCAAGAGAAGTCAAGGTTTGTTTCCAGAATCTGGCTGTGAAATATGGATCAGCATCTCTGACAATAGACAATAGGTATCTATAACGGGTAAATAGGGATCGCTGGAGGTTATTCCATATATCTTTAGAGGAGTCAGTGACCTTCATTGGTATGAGCCATGTATATCCAGAAAATCAATCAACAGCTACCAATACAGTATCATAACTGTAGACTTGTTAAATGGTCCTGCAAAATCGATAGCAAAGGATTCGAATATTTCACAAGGCAATTGGAGGATCTGGACTTTTCCTTCAAATAGTTGTGTTCATTCCTTATTTGTCTTGCAGTGTTCATACTAGTTGACGAAATCGCAGAAATCCTTTCGCATTTTGGACCTGTAAACATATTCTGAGGTGTATTGGAGCTT